CAATTTTTCCCATCTGCCATTTGGGATTTGAACCCATGTCCCCAGAATATTAGCTTGGGGCTCCAGGTAGCATCTCCATGCCATAAGACCATAAGATATAGCAGCAGAATTAGGCCATTCAGCCCATTGAGCTTGCTTGGCCATTCAAGCATAGCTGAACCCCATTCTCCTGCCTTCTCCCCATTCACTTGAACTCCTTACTAATCAAGAACCTATTCCTGTCTTAAATACATTCAATGCCTTGGCCTTCACACCCTCCTGTGGCAACGAGTTCCACAGGTTCACCACCCTCTGGCTGAAGAAATTCCTCCTTATCTCAGTTCTTAAGGGTCGTCCCTTCACTCTGAGGCTGTGTTCTTGGGTCTAGTCTCTCCTACTAGTGGAAACATCTTCTTCATGTCCACTCTATCCAGGCCTCTCAGTATTCTGTAAGTTTCAATCAGAACCCCTCTTATCTTTCTTAAACTCCATCTAGTACAGACCCAGAATCTTTGACCGTTCATCTTATGACAAGCCCTTCACCCCCAGGATCATTCTTGTAAACCTCCTCTGGACCCCCTGCCTCCCTTTACTGAGACTAAAAGGGACACCTCAATGTTTGGTCATTCTTCACTAAGAGACAAAGTTCTTCCAGAGTGCACATGACAACATTATATCGACAATGCAAGTGCATTCCTCAGCACTAAACATTTACAGGCCCTGACATACTATACTCACTGAACCAAGTGACAGTAGGAGAGTGGTATTAATCTTAGATTGAACGTTCTAGCCAAGATACAGCTGGTGATGATCGGCCAAAAGGCCTTTGGCTGCTTTCTAAATGTCAATGGCTTTTTTTCATCTCCCCTTCAATCAGCTCTTTTAAATACCCTCCCACTTCCTGTCTAACATCCAGTACTTCAATTGGGAAGCCCCCTGAGATGCTCCATTGTGAAAACCACACAATATTTAAAAGTATCTCCCTGTTGGTTGCTGATAATGAGTTTCCCAGCCATTTGTAGTCAAGGGCTGCTTCACAAAAGGAGAAATCCTGCTTTTTTGTTTTAATTGAGTAAAGCTCAAGCTGCTGCCCAAGGGAACAGATTGTAATTTTTCTCTGCCCCGATTTGTAGCTCAGAACCATAAAAACCTGATACCAAGCATGCTGAGGTTTATCTACAGAGCGAGGCAATTGGGAATTAGATTGCAATGATTGTTTATTTTGCAGTGGAATGTTACTTTCCCATTTCCTGATCGGTTAATCTCTCTTCTGGGTCTAATTGAATACACATAGTTTTCTGTGTATTTTCACAGGACTCAGGAAATTGTTCTCAAAGGGAACATTCTTAGGGAAATGTGGCTATCAGCTTTCTACAGTCATTAAACACAGAGAACAAGCAGAAGCTTCACATTTGATAGAACTCTTAATGATGGTTCCTGCTTAAATCATCATGATTTGATAGGCTGCACAGTCTTAAATGGATTGGTGGCCTCTCACTCCAAATCTTCCTAAACATTTGTACCTGCATCTTTACCTCCTAGGTAGGCTGGGCCTACATCCATTTGAGTTGACAGAATATTGAGACATATAAGATCCTGAAAGGGTTTAACAGGGTTGTGCTATTTTTAGTCTTTGGGTGAAGACTGGAACTAAACAATTTAAAAATAAGGGACCGCCCACTTAAAACAGAGACGAAGAGGATATTTTTCTGACTAAGGATCATGAGTCTTTGGAACTCTTGTCCCCAGGGAGAGGTACGGGTGGGATCATTGAACATTTTTAAGTCAGAGTTAGATTATTGACTATAACAATGGAGTTATTGGGACTAGATGAGAATATGGATTTGAGACTGCAAACAAATCAGTCATGATTTTGTTGAATAGTGGAGTAGGTTCAAGGAGCTGAATGGCCTACTCCTGCTCCTGTAGGTTCATAGCGTAATCTAGGCTGACACTTGCCAGATCCGAATGAGTGTGTTACTGAAATCTCTCCCTTCAGGTTAGACATTAAACCATAGTCCCATTTTATGTATTCGAGTAGATGTTAACAATGCTACCATCAGCTGTTGATCAATGAGCAGCACTTTCTAAAGTTATAAAGTCCAGTTTCCAATGCAGGGCTTGAGTGCAAAATTGAGGCCGGCATTCTGAATCATCCTGAGGGAATGCTGTCTGGTTGGAGGTGGCATCTTTTCGATTGATTGTGTGAATTCACTGCTGCATTTCCTACATTAAATTAATACACTTCAAATAATGTTCTCTCTCAATGTGACAGTGCAGGATGAAAAGTAACAAATGTGAAAGAACTCACATGGGATCAGAGGATTTAAAAAATGATAAAATAACTTGTAAGAAATCTTCCCGATACTTAAATGCCTTCTGTTCTCATAACTAGCTATCCAGTATTCTAAACACAGTCTTTAGATATTGTTGCTTCTAAAGTTAAGTTTGATAATTCATTTGTGGAATTTCTCCCAAACTTTAGGATTTTGTGCTCCAGACTACTGATCTTTATTTGGATCACTTTCATATGGATTGCTCATTGCTTGAAAGCCAGATTCTATCCTCTGCAAAAAGAGAGTCTTCTGGGACATTTTATATTGTTTGTCTATTAAGCAAACATATTCAACTAATACAGACCCATGGCCAAAGCCCAGGAATGTTAAAAATTACATAAACAGCCTAACTGTAATTTTTACCTCACTCACTGCTCAGACTTATTATGATAAACTATTTATAATGGAGTCCCAGAAAATTTATCAGAGAACATGAACAAAGTCAAGAGGAATTAAATAGAATATGATGAAGACAGGATTAGGCTGGAGAATTGAGGTTCAATAGGATGAGAAAACAGATGAAT